AGGTTGAAACAAGAAACTGAAACATAACTGGACACCATGCAAAGTATGGAAACTTGACATTTGAGGTGGATATATGATACTGAGTGAGTGTCTTAGGTGTTATGCCTCTCAAATCTGGACGTTTTAATGTTGGAGGAGAGACCGACGTTACCATTTCAGCGTGAGTATGTTTGTTATTTGTTTTTTTTGTAACTAAACGCCACAAATTGCAGTATTCCGACTATATGACGGTCTGTACATAATCGAGTCTTTGAACAGATCCGCAAGAAAGGGAGCACAGGTGGTGCCTATGGGGATGCCAACGTCTTGCCAAGATATCCTGTTATCAAATTCAGCATTGTTATTATCTGCCCATTTCACATATCGATTTGTCAGCAACTAAAGCTGATATCTGCTTTCATTTTTGTACAAATTGGCCTGAACTTTTGAATGCAGTAATTGTAGGAAAATGTATGGTCATCCGTTAGTCGCCTCTTACGACAAGCATAATCGCCTTTAACGGCAAGCATGGGTTGCTGCATACCTATTCTTCCCCGGATCGTCATGGACCAATAACTTGTGACAATTGCACCATGGATCAAAGGATGAAGTGTTTCGAAATGATGATTGCTTGGCTAATTTGGAGATTTGTGATTTGTGCTTCCAAACAAGTAAATGATTACAGTGACCATTTTATACGTTTATGTTAGCATAGGATGTGCACTGTAACAAATTTTATATATGGGATAACCCTTTCTCAGTAAAGTATAGATTCTCGTACTTTTTGGGGTTGAGTCCCGTCCGGGATTCGAAGCCACCCTTGCCAGAGTGAGGCACCTAATCGCCAGCACACAAAGTCAGCGATCTAACCCACTCAGCTACCGAGGCTTCCACAATGAAATGAAATGAAAGTCCGACGACTGGTAGTCTAGATCACGTACTTTGAGTACCCCTCTGACAAGTGTAAATTGGCACGGCTCCCATGGCCGAAAGCTATGAATACACAATTTGACCACTTTCTAAATGGCATTGTGTATTCATAGGATGTGGACTAGTCTAAAAGAGACACTTTATGTCATTGTATATCCAATTCTTGTGGTTAGATGCTCAAGAGCTGTAGTGACATTTTTTTTCTGGGGATGCTATCCATCGTAATTAATGAAGCGATTCTGTTCATTATTGTAAATAGACAAATAGAATTCCGCTTCCTTTTGAAGCTTTTTCAGCTGGTCCCGGGTGTGTGCTGCACATGCGTTCCTCAGTTGTAACACTGTGCAGTCTGAAGGGGAAACTATGTGTCCTTCTACGGTCGCCAAGTTTTATATCTAAAAGCTTCATGTAGTAATTTTGCTGTTAGAACTGTGGCACTTTTCATTTATATCGCCAGGCACAGCAGGCCATTGGTGGGTGCTTAGGTGGGTCAGTCATGGACCACACATTCACATATACACGCAACATGACGTCTGTCTTACAGGAGCTGAATAGTAGTATTCAGTAGAGGACACCAGTTATCTACTCTATGTTGAGGGTTGTTTTCAAAGACCCTAGTTATATTTTCCACATGTGTAGAATGCATGCATTCAGTCTCACTTGTCTCAGCTATATACCACAGCATCACTGACAAGCTTGGCGTTTAGCTATACTCGCTCACTATACTGCGATTTCAAAAAATGTTCCAGAAAATACTAAAAAAATTAGCGTGGCCTCAGGTTTTGCAGGGATGGTCGGGTAGCCTAGTGGTTGAAGCGTTCGCTCGTCACGCCGAAGACCCGGGTTCGATTCTCGACGTGGGTACAATGTGCGAAGCCCATTTCTGGTGATATTGCTGGGATATTGCTAAAAGCGGCGTAAAACCATACTCACTCAAGTTTTGCATGGCAAAAGACAGTGGCTAAAATGAAACAAACAATAAATGGTGTATTTGATACTGATATCACATGTTTGTTTTGGACTTTAAGTTTGCAGTGTTTCGACGACTGTTTCAGTCTAGTGACGTATTGATCATATTTGTAATTGTTTTTAATTGTAAACTTTGTTTTGCCCGATAGTTTAATGTCAAGAAGCTGAGATCAAAAACAAATTTTGTCTCCACCCGAATTTTTAATAAAACAACACTGTGTTGGCGCCAAGCTGCGTGCTTTGATGTGTTCTTGTGTACAGGTCTGTAGTGACCTTTACAGATTATAATTCATTTAATGTTATGATACTATTAATACACAACAGAGTTTGTATTTGTACATAGTCCTGAAGTGTTGCTGCTCTTAATAGAAGACAACAAAACATTTACCACAAAAAAGAAGAGTTCACTTCGACACAAGCAAGAACACTGTATCAATATATGCTAAGAAAGACCGGCTAATCTAGCAACACTTTGTGATTTTTTATTACAGCCTTATGTCCAGGCTGTGCGTTCGTGTACTTGTCATGCATATATATATATATATATATATATATATATATATATATATATATATATATATATATATACGTCACTACAGAGGTGAAGTCAATGGGAAAACATCTGGTTTGTGTAACCTACAGCTCGTTGTCTGTTACGTCTAGACCTGTGCCGCCTTGTGTTCTATCTTTGTCCCAGAAACGCCAGTCCAACTTTAATACAACTTTCATATTTTTTTCATGATAGACATGTGGAGGACTTGCCTAAATTCGACGCATGAGTGAGCAAAATGAAATACGATGCATTTCCCTTTTTAACTAATACCATATGTTGGCTTGAACAATTCACTTGCTTTTGCACGCGTTTGTGACGGTGCCACCAACAAAGCAGCATATGCTGAACCTTTCGTGCAAGTCTGTGTCAACTTACAACTGCATGTTGTAATGATAGATGGTTGGTCAGCTATTACCAAGAAGTTTAGCTGGTGCCAGGCGACACGTCAAGACGTCGATGAGACGATAACAACAGGAGACCAGTACGTCATGCTGAAAGTGATATCGCGTTGCAGTCTGCACGTATTGAAATGCCTAATTTGAGTCTTAATGTCGTCAATGGTTCCTGAAACAGTTCATCTCCAAGTCGGGGTTGTGGTCGTGACGTTGTCGCACTGCAGGTGATGGAGGCAACGCAGCAGCATCCCAGTCATTAAGGACAGCTGTGGGATAATCGTCATCACAATGATGTATTTGACATTTAAAATGTGTAATTCTAACTTGCCTGTATGTGTCACGCTGCGAAAGACATAACGGGTGTATTAAAATACTACGTGAACTGTAATCAACACAAACGATAATCCATGACGGTTTGTCCGACATTGGAACTGAAAGTACAACTGATACACTCTGTGGGGATTCTGGGTTTGAAGCAGTTCCAAACAAACTATACTTGCCGTAGGACGACTTGTTGGATCGGGTGGTCAGGCTCGGTGACTGCGTCTATTACATGTACGTCTCATCGCGTGTTATCGAGTTCTAATATCAGTGTGTGTTGGCCCCGACTCGACCAGTCAAAGGCTGTGGTCAATCAATCAGGTCCCTCAGATAGACCGGCTGATTCTCGCCAATGGTCTGTATGGATCAATCAGGTCCCTCAGATAGACCGGCTGATTCTCTCGAATGGTCTGTATGGATCAATCAGGTCCCCCAGATAGACCGGCTGATTCTCGCTAATGGTCTGTATGGAACAATCAGGTCCCTCAAATAGACCGGCTGATTCTCGCCAATGGTCTGTATAAGAACAATCAGGTCCCTCAGATAGACTGGCTGATTCTCGCTAATGGTCTGTATGGATCAATCAGGTCCCTCAGATAGACCGGCTGATTCTCGCCAATGGTCTGTATGGATCAATCAGGTCCCCTAGATAGACTGGCTGATTCTCTCGAATGGTCTGTATGGATCAATCAGGTCCCCCAGATAGACTTGCTGATTCTCGCCAATGGTCTGTATGGATCAATCAGGTCCCTCAGATAGACCGGCTGATTCTCTCGAATGGTCTGTATGGATCAATCAGGTCCCCCAATTAGACCGGCTTATTCTCGCGAATGGTCTGTATGGATCAATCAGGTCCTTCGGGTAGACTGGTTAATTCTCGCGAATGGTCTGTATGGATCAATCAGGTCCCTCGGGTAGACTGGTTAATTCTCGCGAACGGTCTGCATGGATCAATCAGGTCCCTCGGGTAGACTGGTTAATTCTCGCGAACGGTCTGCATGGATCAATCAGGTCCCTCGGGTAGACTGGTTAATTCTCGCGAACGGTCTGTATGGAACAATCAGGTCCCTTGGGTAGACTGGTTAATTCTCGCGAACAGTCTGCATGGATCAATCAGGTCCCTCGGGTAGACTGGTTAATTCTCGCGAACGGTCTGCATGGATCAATCAGGTCCCTCGGGTAGACTGGTTAATTCTCGCGAACGGTCTGCATGGATCAATCAGGTCCCTCGGGTAGACTGGTTAATTCTCTCGAATGGTCTGCATGGATCAATCAGGTCCCTCGGGTAGACTGGTTAATTCTCTCGAATGGTCTGCATGGATCAATCAGGTCCCACAGGTAGACTGACTAATTCTCGTGAATGGTCTGCATGGATCAATCAGGTCCCCCTTGTAAACTGGCTCATTCTCTCGAACGGTCTGCATGGATCAATCAGGTCCCTCGGGTAGACTGGCTGATTCTCGCGAACGGTCTGCATGGATCAATCAGGTCCCTCGGGTAGACTGGTTAATTCTCGCGAACGGTCTGTATGGATCAATCAGGTCCCTCGGGTAGACTGGTAGACTGGTTGATTGTTTATACCAGAAAAGGCTACCGATCAGTTTTCCCCTGACACAGGGACGTACAGCGGTTATATCACATTAAACATTGTATGCACACTTGTGATGAAACACTGATAGTGTCACGGGGCTACACAGTCAGTTGAATATTCTAGAAACCCACACAGAAAAATGGAATTTAACGGTAAATCTGGAAAAAACAAAAGTTGTTGTATACAGACGAGGTGGGGTGCTTTCAAAAAAGGATATTTGGTATAATAGGGGAGGGGGGGGGGGGGGGGGGGGGGGGGTAGTGTCAAGCTACAAATAACTTGGTTTACCTTTTTAGCCATCAGGAAAATTTGTAATAGTATATCTGATCTAGCACGAAGAGCAAAAAGAGCTTTGGTCGAATTGATTGCCACCTTAAGTTAAATTGATCTTATTTCAAAGTCAGCGTTCTTTAAGATATTCGATTCGCAAATACAACCTATACTTTTATATGGCTCTGAAGTGTTGGGATTTCAACAATATGACAAATTGGAAAAAGTTCATCTATTAGCCTGTAAGAAATTCCTGCAAGTAGGACAACAAACCCCAAATGCTATAATCTACGGGGAAAGGGGTCGCTTTCCACTGTACATCAACTCCTATGTTAGAACACTTAAGTTTTGGCTTAAATTAATTCATATGAATGAAGACAGATGGCCAAAAAAGGCTTATAATATGTTATTCTATTTAGATAACTGTGGACGCCATACATGGGCTTCTAACATTCGTTTACTTCTTTTTTCTCATGGCTTTGGTTTTGTATGGATATCGCAAACAGTTGGGAACCAGCTTTCATTTCTACGACTTTTTAAGGATACTTGTATAAACATGTTTTACCAAAACTGGAGATCAGTCTTAAACTCTAGTTCAAGATATCATTTATAAGCAGAGTTTAAAAGTCTTTTAGAACCTGAAAAATATCTTTCAATTTTGTATGAAAGAAAATTTAGAAACATAATTGTAAGATTTAGAGCAGGTCTTTCAAAATTGAAGAATAATGAAGCAGATATCTGTCGATAGAAAAGTCTTTTCGAATATATCCAGTCTGTAATAATGGTATAGAGGATGAATTTCATTTTTTACTCATTTGTTCATGTTATAATGATCTCAGAAAAGAATACTTACCGGCAAAACTTTGCCGATATCCTAGCTTGAACCATTTCAAATCTATTATGTGTAATAACATAGAAGCAGTCTTAAACAGTTTATCACGTTGCCTATATTACGCTTATGCAAAAAGAACAAGTAGTACAATTCAATTATGACATAAGTCATGTGTCACGTTACTTTACCGTTGCATCTGTGAACAATTGGTATATTGTGAACTGTAATTGTATATGGGCCCGAGGCCTTCATGCAAATAAAAGTTCTTCTTCTACTTCTACTGTATAAAAAATATATAACTAAAGCACTCTTTCAAAGGTGATTGATGCTAAATATATGTTACAAGACAAACATGAAATTTATAAAATAAAATTCCAAATAGTAGTTAGAATTTGATGAGGAAAAATAGATACTGCAAGACAGATTTATCAGGTCATTATCCATTTGAAGAAAAACACTTTCCTGGGCCCCATTTCAAATCTAACTAAAGATATAGTATTTCAGTTAATCACGGACCCTATTCCTGTGTGTACAAGCAATGTAATTGTGTATAAAATTACTCGTCCCTGATACTTTGCTGTTATTTTTGCTTACAGGTGTTTGTAGCAAAGATTTAAACAATAAACAAATATTTGCACTTTTGGTTTAACGTGATATACAAACATACTCAATCATATAATAAAGAAATCTGTTTTGTGGTGACAAGACTTCACTGGATTTGTTCAATATATTGTCAATATGGGGAGTGTTTCACTTTACCAGTGGATGGCTATGGCTTAGTTTCCAAAGTACTTTTCCTGGAAAGTTATTTCTGTTACAGGGCTCTAGACAAGGGCCGTATATACAAATGAAAATACTTGAGATAAGATGTACGAATTAAGGATCTGTGCATCGCCTACAGGGCTCTAGATAAGGGTCGCATGTACAAATGAAAATACATGAGATAAGATGTACGAATTAAGGAAAGTATCTGATATCTGGGTATCGCCTACAGGGCTCTAGATAAGGGCCGTATGTACAAATGAAAATACTTGAGATAAGATGTACGAATTAAGGGGAGTATCCAATATCTGTGTATCGCCTAAGCTTTATTTAGTTTTCTTCACTAGATACTTGATTATTTGGAGCACTATTACCCTCAACCTCTTTAACAATCCCACGATCACAGCTAAGTCCTCACTTCTGCTACACAAACTGCAGAGCGGCTTTGAAAAGTAAACCAGAATATTCTTATATTTCTATTTCAGAAAACCATGACGTCTGTCGGCAACATGGATGAGTTGGGTGAACTCTTAGCAACTCTTCAAAAAAGGAGCAACTGAGCGAGCACTGATGAGTGGATTAAATATCTGTGAATGTATCACGTATGGCACATTCACCTCTTTCCATGTGGTTATAGGGGACGTTTATTCGGCTTAATAAATAAGTCGAATACATCAATAATAAATCTGCTTTGAGTTGACATTTGCAGCGTGAGTGTGCGTGTGTGAGTGAATTATCCTTCACCGTTTAAAACAAATAATGGATTATTGCAGTGTGCTACAGTTAAAAACAACTATTTGTGCAGATGAAGCTGAACAATTGCAAATATCTGGTCTCTATACAAAATGGTTTGCCAAACCAATTACTTATTATATTCATAATGACATTTGTTCCTGTCATTTGTTAACAGAGGCTGTGAGGAGGGAGGCTGCAGCTGAGGTCTTAACAGCCACAGAAAGGACACAGTGACCTGTGTGATTGAATGACTTCGAGTTCGAGGAGCTTGGCTTAGCAATGGCGCAAGGAAAAAGTGACATGAGAAACTGAGCTGCGCATACAGTGCTGAATTGCAAGGGAACAGCGTTCACATTCAAATACAGTGGACAATATCCACAGTCGTTTCAGCGCCTTGTATGACAAAAACTTGGTATTGACAGCGTTCATATGCACATGCAGTGGACAATATCCAAAGTCGTTTCAGCACCTTGTATGACAAAAACTTGGTATTGACAGCGTTCATATGCACATACAGTGGACAATATCCACAGTCGTTTCACCACCTTGTATGACAAAAACTTGGTATTGACAACTTATGCAAGTTGCGAGCTTCAAAATCTGCTTTGTGACAGGTATTAACACTGTTATAATACCATAAAGTTTTTTTTTATTCTGTTCTGCTTTCTGTGTTTAGTTATGAGTATTAAACCTGATTCTAAACCGATAATTATTGTCGGGCCAATTTCAATCCAATGCTGAGTCGATTTTGATTGCCGATGTCGGGACGATGTCAATCCGATGCTAAGACGATAACAATTGCCGATGTCGGGCCGATGGCTGACCGATGCTGCTCCGATAATTATTTCGACGTTGAGCCGATGTCGAACCGATGAGCAAAACTGCATCGGCCCGACGATGTTCGACGATGTTCGGCCGATGTTGGGCCGATGTTGGGCCGATGCAGGGGGGCTAGCTGTGCTTTCACAATGCCAAGGCAGCGTGCCTGTCTTTTAACGAAAAACTTGTGTCTACATAGTTTTCGTAAATATTGAACGTCTCTTTAGGAACATGTCGCTATTAAGTGTAGTTCTTTTATACCTTACAGAAATAAATTTTGTAATTTTTGTGAGCATATGGCAGTGATTTAAAGACAATAGAGATAAGACAGTAACATGATTGGGTGGCTCCTGGATTTATCAGAGAAAAGTGTGGCCCATCCATCGACCCCAGCTTTTGAATAAAGGAAAAGAGTGAGTGAGTGAATGAGTGAGTTTTGGTTTTACGCCGCTTTTAGCAATATTCCAGCAATATCACGGCGGGGGACACCAGGAATGGGCTTCACACATTGTACCCATGTCGGGAATCGAGCCCTGGTCTTCGGCGTGACGAGCGAACGCTTTAACCACTAGTCTACCCGACCGCCCCGAATAAAGGAGAAGAGATAGACGATGAAGGAGACGATGAAGATGAAGGAAACGATGAAGAAGGGGAAGATGAAGGAGACGATGAAAAAGGAGATGATGAAGAAGGGGAAGATGAAGGAGACGATGAAGAAAGGGAAGGTGAAGGAAACGATGAGGAGGGGAAGATGAAGGAGACGATGAAGAAGGGGAAGATAGATGAAGACGACGATGAGGAAGGGGAAGATGAAGGTAATGATGAGGAAGGGGAAGATGAAGGAGACGATGAAGATGAAGGAAACGATGAAGAAGGAGAAGGTGAAGGGGAAGATGAAGGCGACGATGAGGAAGGTGAAGATTGAGGAAACGATGAAGAAGGGGAAGGTGAAGGAGACGATGAAGAAGGAGATGATGAAGAAGGGGAAGATGAAGGAGACGATGAAGAAGGGGAAGATGAAGGAGACGATGAAGAAGGGGAAGATGAAGGAGACGATGAAGAAGGGGAAGATGAAGTTTGGGAAGGTGAAGGAGACGACGAAGAAGGGAAGATGAAGGAGACGACGAAGACGGGAAGATGAAGGAGACGACGAAGAAGGGAAGATGAAGGAAACGATGAAGAAGGGAAGATGAAGGAAACGATGAAGAAGGGGAAGATGGAATAGTGATGGATGAATCGTTAAAGAAGAAAGCAACACACAGGAATAACGGTCTTTCAATGCACATCTGACTGTTCATCAGTTCATAGTTGTGTTGTATGTATTAACCTTGACGGTAACACCACATTACCACACAACAATATCACGATATGCATGATCATTAACATATAGGTTCCATTAAAACAGACAGTGGTCTGTATATATCTGACAGAATACCACTGAGCCCAGTGCTAGTCTGGCAATCAAGTTGAATGGTAAAGGTGACATGGCACTGGGCTGTGATTTTGCGTCAACACAGAGCAGATGGGCGGCTCATGTCAACATCATGGGGTTATACAGCCTCTAGTATTGCCATAGATTGCCAAATAAAATCCCACTGAGTATTCACTTTTCTGAAATCCAGTTGGGGGCACTCTCGTGAGAGGCTCTGTACAGACTAAAATGTCAGTATCCAATGATCCAATGAGTTCGAATTCCAGATTCGCCAACATTATGATCATCGGTTTGTAAGCACCAGGTCCGCATTCGGCAAACATTAGGACTTGCATCATACTGGTCGTTCCTCCCAAACTGAGCAGACAGCCATATCACTGAACACAAGTCTCTCACCAAAGTCACAATAAGTCCATTTACATCACGCTTAAAGCGCAGTTTTCTCGAGGTGAATGGATCAGTGTGCACTCGATTTTCACGTTCAGTTTTCATCCCAAGCTGCATGTGAGGTCCCAGAAAGTTTGCAGTAACAAAACCATCTCACCGCTACAGGGTCACTGCTTGGTGAAAAGAGACATGTATCGAACAACCACTTGCCTGAGGAGATACATGTGCTTCATTGAGGGAAAGGGCCGGAGCCTAGACACTCTCACGAGTCAAGGTGCCGAACGCGGTCATCCATCGAAGGACTCCCCGGGACCAACGTTGCTTAACTTCATCTGACTGTGACAGGTGCGCTGTGGTCAGGACCACCAGCCACCACAACAATATATCTGTGGTATTGATGGTTCAGTTCACAACGAGTGTGTGCCACAATAATATATCTGTGGTATTAATGGTTCAGTTCACAACGAGTGTGTGCCACAATAATATATCTGTGGTATTAATGGTTCAGTTCACAACGAGTGTGTGCCACAATAATATATCTGTGGTATTGATGGTTCAGTTCACAACGAGTGTGTGCCACAATAATATATCTGTGGTATTGATGGTTCAGTTCACAACGAGTGTGTGCCACAATAATATATCTGTGGTATTGATGGTTCATTTCACAACGAGTGTGTGCCACAATAATATATCTGTGGTATTGATGGTTCAGTTCACAACGAGTGTGCGCCACAATAATATATCTGTGGTATTGATGGTTCAGTTCACAACGAGTGTGTGCCACAATCCGAGTGGTTAAAGCATCGTGGGAGGGGGATTGAAAACCCGTAAACAAGGTGTATGAGTGAGTGAGTTGGGTTTACCGCTGCTTTTATCAGTATTCCAGTTATATCACGGCGTGTCAGTTTAATGTGGGGGGAAAGCCCGAAGTGATGCAGGTCTCAGACGTTTACCACGAGCACGAGAAACCAAGAAGCATAATCGGGGCGAACCGGGATTCGAACCAAACAAACATAGGGCACGGGTGTCTAGGCACGATTCGCTGTGCAGAGTTGCGTCCCTTGGGCACGCCAGAAACCTGTGATTGTGGGTTTGATTCCCCGTTAGCCCCGTGGTTATATTTCGAGGTTTGTCAGCACCATACCCAAGCTCGTGGGTTTCATAAGCCAAACGTCTGAGACCCGCATCACTTCGGGCGTAACTTCCACATCACGCCGTGATATAAATCGATTAATGTTCAAACGGAGTTAACAATACTCACTCACTCACTCATCGAATCATATACCTTCATCTCTCGTTGGATTGTTTGTTTCCGGACAAAAGAGGAAACATGTTGCTTTACTTAGGGGTAAATCATATGCGATGTAAAGGCAGATCCAAATTAATTAAAGTCGCGGCCAACCAATACTAAATAACACCCGTAAATAAATGTAGTCCCTACCTTCGTAGAACGTAGAAAGCTCAGTTAAACAACGACGAACGTCGATTGTACGATTCCGACTATATCATGAGCATGTGTTTGTGAATCACTATCAAATAGTGATGACACCAGGTGTTTGTCAGAAGGTGAGCCGGTATCCTGCCCCACCGCATCCAAACACATGCAAAGTAACGTTTTCACCTCAAAACAAAACACGGATTCTTTTTATCATACAATGTCATTCCCCCATCTCTTCTTTGTTTGTAAATAGTAATAACCAGTGCCTTAAGTGTAAAAACTATAGATAACCAGATTCAGTGTCAGTGTGATCATTCATGTCATTTGATTGTGACCTCATGGTAACCGAACGGTGACAATTGTCTCCAACGCATTGTAAAGCAATTGTTTAATCTCATCCATGCGATATCTCATGTGTACGGAAGCGTAGTAGGGCCAAGGCGATTTGTTTTTTGTCTAAGTATCTCCTACGTAGGACTAAGTCCTACGTAGGCGATAGTAAGTCCTACGTAGGATATACTAAGTCCTACGTAGGAGATAGTAAGTCCTAAGTCCAGGAGATTGTAATTCTAGGCCATACTAAGTCCTATGTAGGATATACCAAGTCCTACGTAGGAGATACTAAGTCCTACGTAGGAGATAGTAAGCCCTACGTAGGAGAAAGTAAGTCCTACGTAGGAGGTACTTAGACCCAAAAAAATTCACCGTGGCCCTACTACGCTTCCGTACATGTGGCAGCCAGTTTTGGATGATGAATTGTCTTTGTGTTCACAGGTATACCTTTCGTTTTTAGGATATTTAGGATACTATGGTAACTCCAATAATACACTTATCCGCCCGGATTCCGGTTAAGACTCGCTTATTTACGAGCCGCCGTCACAATCATAGCTGGTATATTGTTTATTGCGACACTCAAAAGAACCGAACAAATGTTATTCTACAGTTATGTACAGTACAAAGGTCAGATTCGCAATGCTGGTGAAATTGCTGGCAACTTGTACAATAAGTCAAAGCGTGTATTTTCACAAAGATATCAAAATTTAATAGATACGTATTACATACTACATGGAAACATATTTGTGAACGTGTGATATTGGAAATCATGATCACTTCTTTTCATTCAGGATGCTATTTTTTAAATTATATGTTATATGAGCTTTTAAAAACACTGGCATTGAGTATTGAAACATATTGGACATGTATATTGAGTATTACTGAGAGTGGCGTTAAAACCACTCCTCCAGAACCCCCCAAAATGTTTTAAACTTTATTGAAGGTAAGCAACAAAGATAATAATAAAAAGTGATAAAACACACAGCTTTTGAAGAAACAATCGCGAAATGGTGTGATGTATAAAACATTAATGGCATTTACACCTATTGATGTCCTAAATGGCTTTTACAGCAACCATAACTGTGTATCCAGAACAATGTCTTAATATAACACAAAAATGTCCGGTATTTCTTTAATCAAATAATGATTTCGAGAAGCCAGCTGGGAGGACTATATTTCCTCCTAATCTTTGAGTATCGGTGTGTTAGCTAATTCTTCAAAATACCTGCTTTGATCGCAGTGTAATAT